CTGGGTTCGAAGTAAAAACTTGCCCTACTCGATTGATGAAATCAGACGAATAACAAACTCCTGCAATGTGTGTGCTGCTGTGAAGCCTAGATTCTTCAAACACAAAGGGATTTTGATTAAAGCCACTTCTGCATTTGAACGGCTGAATATCGATTTCAAAGGCCCGCTGCCTTCATCAAGTCGAAACCGTTACTTATTAGTAATAGTAGACGAGTTTTCACGGTTCCCTTTCGCTTTCCCGTGTTCAGACATGTCATCGTCAACAGTTAAGTCGAAACTAAAATAACTACTATTAATAACTAAAATTTCTACTTTTGGGGTTCCTAGTTACAGTACATATGTTCGGACAGAGGAACATCATTTCTGAGCCAAGACTTAAAATGCTACTTGAACTCACTTGGAATCTCAACTAGTAGAACCACTGCGTACAATCCAGCAGGTAATGGGCAAGTTGAAAGATTTACCGGCATTCTATGGAAAACAATTGAACTGGTATTGACATCACTTAACTTAGAAATAAACCAATGGGAGACAGTTTTAGAGGATGCCCTCAGCTCAGTGAGATCATTACTTTGCACTTTGCACAGCCACAAATCAAACTCCTCACGAGCGTATGTTCTTACATCCACGTAGATCTGGGAACAATGGTCTTTCAGCTTCTTCATGGGTTCTCAAATCCGGCCCTGTCTACTTGAAGAAATTCAATCGTACGTCCAAGTATGAGCCACTTGTTGAAGAGGTCCAACTTCTTCACGGGAATGCCGAGTATGCTCATGTTAAGTTGACTGATGGAAGAGAAACTACCTTGTCTACGCGTCATCTTGCTCCGGTTGGTGAGTACCAAACCGACATGGAGCAAACTGATTTTGAGAGTGATGAAAATACTCTATTACCCACTTTTCAACCTGAACCTGAATACTTTCCTAGTCCATCTTCAACACAGGATCAAGAAGATGAAATGAATACTACTGCCGAGAATTTACAACCTAGACAAGAAGCTTCTAGAGGAGAGAACCATTAACACATATACGAGAAGAAGTTTCAGAAGCAGAAGACCTCCTAATTATTTACATGACTACGTTTATTATCATTAGGGAGGAAGAATGTAGTAAAAAACATGTGTCTTCAATTCCTTATTATTGTTTTGTTGTGTTTGTAAACAAATCCATTATAGTTCAATATAGTATTGTTCAAGTTATTAAAAACCTTTCTAAAGGTGATAAAAGTTCTTTTTCATTCATTCTTACTCTCATTACAATAGAGTACTCGGCTGATGTTCAAGAGGTACTTAGATCTAATCCCATCGGTGTCACTAACTTTTTGTCAAAGATTTGGCTTAGAATGCCATTTCTTCTTAACTGTACATCTTTTGTTAGAATTTGAGGCATTTATAATTTTATTTTATGAACAGAATTTAAACTTTAACTTCATTCGATTTATTCATTATCAGCAAGTTTGGTTAGTTAGGTTAGTAACTGCGGATGCCTAATCCACGTCGGGATACCGGACGCGTATCCTCTGCCTTCCTTATTCTACTTATTTATCTACACGCTCTTGTAGTAACAGGTGCTTGGTGATGTACAATGGGTGATTGTTGTGGAGAACGGCACATGGACTAGGTGAGGAGGGAAAGGAAGTGTGACGTGTAACAGTACTATGATCAGTCAAAAACATCCGCAAAAGAGCAGTTTAAAGAAATAGGAATTATGACTGTTTTTAGCTTATAAATTTATCAAATAGCCCTTTATATTAAATCAAACCATGAAAGATTGCCAAAATTGAACTCTTTTCATACCGGTATATATTCAACCAGAAAAGGTAATGAATTGGCGTTCAACAGACATAATTTATCGGTTTATGAAAAAATCCCATCTTATAGTGGTGTTAAATATTTTTGTTAAATAGCTTACCTGACAATATAAAAAATATAAGTAATTTTAATTCATTTAAAAAACGTTTGAAATTATTTCTCACCAACAGACCCTTGTATAAATTAGAAGATTTTTTCCAACTTCCTGAAATTTGATTTTACGATAATAACAATATTCTTTGTAAGTAGTCTTAAGTTTAATATTGTGTTTTTATAACTGACTCCATTCTGTACAAAATGTGCATTATGAATAAAGTTTTTTTGATTGATTGATTGAAACTATTAATAATTTGTGCTGTGTATATATATCGAGTATGTATATTTGTACTGTAAAAACACTTTACCTCATTTGCATAAAAAAATTGCCAACATCCATACAACACTCTACATAGAAAAACTCTTCAGTTCCCTATCAATAGGACTGTTATTTATGTGAAAGCTCCTTTGTATATGGGTAGGAAACTATTCAACCAACTCCCTAATCAAATCAAATCGGCAGAAAATATGGATATTTAAAAAAAACTGCTAAGGGAACATTTGTAAATACTTTGTCCTTATTCAGTTGATTCTTTTTGCAGCTGTCACTCCTTTTTGTTGTATTTTAAACCACTGACCTCACTTTTAATATATTACTTATTGTAAATTCTATGTGTCAAATAAACATTTCATTTAATTTCAAACCCCTTATTATTTGGCCGTGTAAGAACTTCCCTACTCAAAGGAGTGTTAGTATCTTAAGCTGTAATCAAATTATCGTCTAAAAACACTGCCCCACCTTCCAAGCCTTGGAGTGTCTGTTCAATGGAATTTTGAAAAATGCCAGGAGCTGAGGAGATGCCATATGGCATTCTCTGATAGGAGAAAACCCCTTTATGAATACTGATTGTGCATAATTGTTTTGGCTCGTCATTTAATTAAAGTTGCATGTAAGCTTGGCTGCGATCAATTTTACTAAAGGTTTATCCACCTTGTAAATTAGCAGATAGTTCCTCGATTTTAGTTAGAGGATATTTGTTAACTTCTTGGAATGGAGTAACTCTAAAATCCCTACAGATTCTAATTTCCCGACTTTTCTTTAAAACTGGGACTATAGGTGTTGCCCAGAATGCGCTACTTACAGGTACTAAAACTCCACCCTTCCTTAGTCTGTTGTAGAACAGCTCCTGTTCCTTATAAGCTAAACAATTATAAGGTGGATTGGATTAGGCGGATCTGCTGAAGTACGGTACTCCACCATAAAGCCAATTATGAAAAACAAAGATAAAAGTTTGGAGAAAGAATAGTTTCAAACAGACCACCTTATCTTGAAAAACATCAAATAAATAACAAAGAACAGTTTGGATTCAGGCAAAATCTTTTAACCATAGATGCAGTTTCAACATTTATCGATTTCATCATTAAGAATATGGATAATGGATAGTAAAACCTCTTCTGCAGCAATCTTTTGTGACTTGTCAAAAGCGTTTGCCACTATTGACAGAAACATAAATTAAACCTAATTAACATAAACATAAACATTAAAAATAATTGTTCGTTTTCTTGTTTGTTATTATTTAAATCTGTGTGATAGTAAGCAATATTCAGTACAAACAATTAACATAATTTAGAACGCCATTATCTTATCACAAGGTATAAATTTATAAATGCACAATATCATTTTGAAAAGAAGTGGAAGAGAACACATACACACAGAAGCAATAATAATTCTGTTTGAACACTCTTTCTAGTTTCAACTGTGTCCACACTCAGTATATAGACTGGTGAAATTTGATATTTTTTGTCGCAGACACAATGACAGACAAACAGACACAAATTGACTCTGATTCAGTTTTCATAGTGTATAAAATCATTCATAGTGTTTAAAAATAACAAAAAACTTTATGATTTTACGCAATGTACAGACAAAACTGTAATTTTATTATGTATTATCCTAAAAACATAAGTTTTTGACATTTCGTTCTACAAATATTTGTATTTTAAACCACCTGATAATTTTGTATTTTGAATCGTTGTTTTGCGCTAAATGGTTTTAGAACAGATTCAAAAAACTGAAAATGTTCTCCAAATAAGTGTTTATCTCTTCGAAGGCCTCTTTCATGTAACCAGGATCATATGACAAGTGCAGCAAGGCCAGGACAAACTTTCGTGGGGGGGGGTCAGGTCAGTGGCGGTTCTAGGACCTTGTTAAGGGGGGCTCCTGGGGGGCTTGGGGGATGTTTTACACCCCCCAATATAAGAGGGGGGTCTGGGGATTTTTTTATATTTTTAAAGTGGTTTAGTGATTTTCTAAAGCAATTTTTAACGCCTAAAACTGTCACAAATTGTAAAAAAAACTCCCATTTAACCGGTTGTTTGTCATAAGCAAGTAGACATTTACAAATTCAAACTATGACGATTGCATTCATAAATTTGTAACCATACTTTAGGCTATGGCCATATCCTCCTAAAAACCGTTTAAGACTTTCTTTAGCCCCTGTAGACCCCCCCCCCTTAGAATCACTACTGGGTCAGGTCATGACTGTGGATAAAAGATTCAAGCACTTTCATTCAAACACCAATTCCCATGCTTATTTCCAAAATGTTGATATAGTTACAATTATGTAATATATTACAGGATGATAAATCTGTTTTGTTTGAGTAAAGTATTTTTGTTGAACCTTCATAGTTTTATTACCTCTTTAATATAGATCAGATTTATTAATAGTTTTTTTTTTTTTTATGAAATATGAATAGTTACTGCAAAACGTAATAAAACATAAAATATAATCATCTTTTGTGGTTTCCATTTTATAAACTTGCACTTTTTAAACCTAGTGTCAATTTTTACTACTAAATTTCGGGATTTGGGGGGGGGGGGGTTTGACCCCCTAACCCCCCTGGCTACGGCCTTGAAGTGCAGGAATCATCTGCATGCATAGTGTACAGTACAATGTTTTCGTCAGCTGGGAAAGTCAGCTGAGTCAAGCGTGTAAAGTATATCAGACTTGTATTTTTGGTGTTGCATATGTTTATTGTAATAGCTATTGTGCGCAATATTTTAATGTTTGGAAACCTACTGTAAATCAACAAACGAATAAGGCTAAATGTGAACAAGAAATGTATTTATTTTATAATGTATGGTCTTTTTCAGAAGAGGAAATGGATTTGAAGAGGAAAAGAAACTTCAATTTGTTGCAAGAAAGATAATTTAGATAATCTTTTATAGTACTTTAAACCACAGCTAAAATGATTTTAAGTTTCTATTATACTATAAACTACTATTGAAAGTAAGTAATTCACTATGTAAAACTTGACTTAAATCTGTACAACCGTTATGTGTATAATGTGATATTATTTGATAAACAATATTTTAAAAAAGCATGGGCTTACCAATATATAATACGATGGAACATAAAAGACAAGCAAATTAAGAAAAATAGTTAAGGTTGGCTATTGGTATTAAATACACATACAGTAACAAAACTTAATTAAAGACATTTTAAAGTTAAATAATACAATACATAACTTTTTTAAACATTCAAAAAATTTTCCAACAAGACACTTATTTAAATAGACATAAGAGCCAACTGACTAATTCTAATTAGTTACTAGATTGTCTGATGAGTTATAAGAAAATTTAAAAAAATAATGTCTAAGATCACAGAAAAGTTTCCCCTTAAGTGTCCAATATGTAAAAAAACTATTTTAACTAATTGGGAAATGAAGAATCATATATATGTGCATACAGGTGAACGTCCATTTCAATGCTTGACGTGTGAGGAAACATTTATTGAACTACATAAGGTAAAGTGTCATTTGTTGACACATTCTGTCAAGTTTCCTTTTAAGTGCACTACATGTGGAAAATGCTTCACAACCATTAGCAAAATGAAGAGACATACATTAATTCACACCGGGGGAAAACCTCATATTTGTCATATATGTGGAAAATCGTTCACACGCAAATATCATATGAAACATCATATATTGGTTCACACTGAAGAACGACCTCATAAGTGCACTATATGTGGAAAATCGTTCACAAGAAAATGTCAAATGAAACGTCATATATTGGTTCACACCGAAGAGCGACCTCATAAGTGCAAAATTTGTGGAAAATCCTTCACGACCATTGGCAATTTGAAGATACATACATTAACTCACACTGGAGAGCGACCTCATAAGTGTACTATTTGTGGAAAATCCTTCACAACCATTGGCAATTTGAAGATACATAGATTAACTCACACTGGAGAACGACCTCATAAGTGCACTATATGTGGAAAATCCTTTAACCAACTCAGCCATATGAAGAAACATACAACGCTTCATACGGAAGAGCGACCTTATGAGTGCACTACATGTGGAAAATCCTTCAACCAACTCAGCTATTTAAAGAAACATAACCGAATTCATACTAAAGAGCATACTGAAGAGCGACCTCACTTGTGTCCTATATGTGGAAAATCCTTCAAATCCAATAACGGAATGACACTACATGCATTGGTCCATACTGAAGAGAGACCTAATTTGTGTCCTATTTGTGGAAAATCCTTCACAACCATTGGCAATTTGAAGATACATACATTAACTCACACTGGAGAGCGACCTCATAAGTGTACTACATGTGGAAAATCCTTCAAAACCATTAGCCAATTGAAGTTACATACATTAACTCACACTGGAGAGCGACCTCATGAGTGCACTATATGTGGAAAATCCTTCACAACCATTGGCAAAATGAAGATACATACATTAATTCACACTGGAGAGCGACCTCATAAGTGCACAACATGTGGAAAATCCTTTAACCAACTCAGCAATATGAAAAAACATACAACGATTCATACTGAAGAGCGACCTCATAAGTGCACAACATGTGGAAAATCCTTTAACCAACTCAGCAATATGAAAAAACATACAACGCTTCATACTGGAGAGCGACCTCATAAGTGCACTATATGTGGAAAATCCTTCTTAACCAACCACAAAATGAAGACACATACATTAATTCATACTGGAGAGCGACCTCATAAGTGCACTACATGTGGGAAATCCTTCAACCAACTCAGGTATTTAAAGAAACATAACCGAATTCATACTAAAGAGCATACTGAAGAGCGACCTCACTTGTGTCCTATATGTGGAAAATCCTTCAAATCCAATGGCGGAATGAAACAACATGCATTGGTCCATACTGAAGAGAGACCTAATTTGTGTCCTATATGTGGAAAATCCTTTAAAACCAATACTGCTTTGAAGATTCATACATTGGTTCACACTCGAGAGCGACCTCATAAGTGCACTACATGTGAAAAATCATTCAACCAACTCAGCGCTATGAAGAGACATACAATGGTTCATACTGAAGAACGACCTCATTTGTGTCCTATATGTGGAAAATCCTTTAAAACCAATAGTGTTTTGAAGATTCATACATTTGTTCACACCGGAGAGCGACCTCATAAGTGCACTACATGTGGAAAATCCTTTAATCAACTCTGCTGTATGAAAGAGCATACAGTGGTTCATACTGAGGAACGACCTCATTTGTGTCCTTTATGCGGAAAATCCTTCAAATCCAACAGCCATTTAAAAAAACATACATTGGTCCACACGGGAAAGTGACCTCATAAGTGCACTACAAGTGGAAAATCCTTTAAGAAACTCAGCCATATGAAGAAACACACAACGGTTTATACCTCATAAGTGCTCTATATGTGCAAAATCCTTTAGGACCAAAAACAGTATGAAGAAACATACAACGCTTCATACTGAAGAGCGACCTTACGAGTGCACTACGTGTGGAAAATACTTGAAATACAAAGACACATTGAAGATTTATATATTGGTACACACCAGAGAGCGATCTCATAAGTGCACATGTGGAAATTGAACTACAGGTTCATGAAGATTGTTGTGAAAGCCTGATGTACATTTTGCCCATGTTTAGCATCATTAGGAGCAGAGGTTGTTTTTATATCTTTTTAAACACTATTACTTTTCATATATTATTAGTTGGTTAATGATTTATGTAGCCAGCGCAGGAATCCGAGCTTGCGTGTTGGGACCGAAAACGTTACATATCTTCTTTTAATGTTTAACCCTCCATTGGTGATACCAGAGTTTTCCTCCGGGCGCATTTGTTTTAATAGAAAAATATGTAATATCGCCAGCCGGCAGCTTTAGAACTAACAGTACCTCACATACATCCTTCTACAATTATATTGATTGTACATGGTTTATGGTCGTTTTTGTATTATAATATGTGACAAAAATACTTTTTCTAATATTTCAACACTCTGGAAAAAAACTCTGTGTGTCACCGATTGAGTTGTTTTTGTTTACTCTATATTTTATAAATATGTAAAGTAAGAGATTTTATTGAGTTCATGTACAGATTTATTGATTATACAAGTTGTAATACGTTTTTATATTAATACCTATAAAAAACTTTGTTTGTCTCATGTTTCAACACCCGGTAAAAACTCTGTGTACCACCGATAGTGATTTAAAATCAAAGACACCGTTAAAGGGTTAAGAATACCCTTCAACCCTCCTGAATTTCCTGTCCTGAAATACGTAGCTTTCACGGCTGACCTAAAGAACTATAACATCAACTGATGATCCACTGTTAAACAATCTCAAAAATAGCTCAGATTCAGATTATTTGTGTCATTTTCTAAATTCAACAGAAAAAAAGCAAATTTCTCCTCTCTAAACATCACCCGAAAATTCTTAATTAGATTGTCACACATTTCGTTTTAGGCAAAATGGCTAAAATGGACACAACATTTTTACAATTTTGATCTGATCGCAATTGCACTCCAGCGCATATTAAGATTTTAAATAATTATATAATGTAATACATTTAAAGATACAAATCTTCATTGTTTGTTAGTTAATGTCATGTTGTTTTACACTTTACACCTATTAGTTGTATCTTTCACTGATTATTTATTTAGATGTATTCTATAGGTTTTTATGCATATGGCAACTGAAAACTTTAATGTAATGTCAGAGTACTTTCCAGGGCTATTATCTGAGTGTGTATTGCCTTGATCCTTAAAAGACAGTAATCATAAGCTTTTGTAACTTAATTTTATCTTACTAATATTATAAATGTGAAAGTTTGTGTGTCTGTTTGTTTGTTCGTTTGTTTATCTGTTTGTTTGTTTATTTGAAGTTCAATCTCGCATTAACTACTGGTTGGATTGGGCTGAAATTTGATATGGTGATAACTCACATCCCCAATTAACATATAGACATATTCTTATTTCAAAAATCCTTTTGGGCTCCACCCCCAGTGGCTCTGGAGTTTCCCATGTTAACCTTATGAGTATTCATATTTAAAAGAAATTAAAGAATTTTGTCAGCTGTTTCAACTACACAAGTTGGTTCTATGATATTAAATAGCATTAAAAAGTTATAAGGTTTACCAACAGGGTGCAGCACTATTAATATTTTTTGCATTTATGACAACAGCTAATTTGAACTAACTAGCAACAAAAAGCTGTGATTACAATGAGAACTTTACTTTTTTCTATTTTTAGGTGCAATGGTAGAACATTATGGCTATGGTAGATATGCTATACTAAAGCATAGGCCTACCGTAAATTAAAAGAATCAAATTTTCTTAAACTGTGTCCTCTCCCATTGCCAACGCAAAGCCAAATATAACTGCAATATGCATTTTATACTTTTTACGCCAAACCCGTACGAAGGACGGGTACACTGCTACTTATGTAAATACTAGCTGTTGTACCCATGCTTTGCAACGGGAAGAGGACACAAAATAGAAACATTTTAATCTTTACATTTGTTGCATATAATAGTTACACATCCGCCAACGCTTTTAGAAACAAAATTCAACTTTTATGGCCTTAATAGGAACGTTTAAGTTATGGCTTTTAAATCTGGTAAGTAGTGGATACCACCATTTTGATTTTGATTAATTTTAAATCTTGTGTAGGCTGATATGAGAAAAACTGACCAAATGTTTGAATAAAACTTTGACATACATGATTTACCTTCTCTCCCTTTCACATATCACATATCTTTTAATTTATTATTGACATTTTAAATTTCAATTTTGAAGTTGCAAAAATACTAATTATCAAATTTAAATGAACATTTTTTTAAATTTCATTCTTCTTTATATTAAATCACAAATCCTTCCGTCTTCAGTTTCTTCACTCACAATAAATCATTAGCTAAACTAAGTCAGCTGTTATAAAGTTTAGAAATATTGCTGTGCCTTATCAATACAGTCTTTTGAACTATTAAAGATAAAGAAACTATATCTATAGGTACTATAAACAATTTTAAACAAATAATTTAGCATTAAAGACAGCAGACAATACTAATATGATTATCAAAGCATCAAGGACTAAGAAATGTAATAGCAAATACAGTATATGTTTCATTGCATCTCTGATTATACTCTACAAAAATATCAACAAACAACTTAATATACAAACAAGTTCTTTTAATCAGTTCCATCGTCCATTGCCTTACAATAACTTAATTTACCTACATATACATATAAAAAACAATGTGATGTGCAAGTTATGTTAAGTTACCGGTAATCTAAACACATGTTAAGCAGTTACAATTTATTTAAAGTAGCCTTCAAATTCATACAAAACATCTATACATTGTAATTTTCATACTGTTTCCATAAAAACATATCAATAACATTATTTTCATAACTTAGACCCTTTAAAAAATCCAAAGCAGAGCCGGAGTTGATACAGCAACGGTTATAGAATCTGTTTTTTTCTATAATCATTGACATAGTTTTAGAATAAATAATCCATGATAAAAGGTTAAATTAAAATAAACCTACCTCATAGTTATAGCAAATATTATATTTAATTTCTTTGTATCAGCTGTCTGAAATTGTGAAATATGCAGTTTAGCAGTTCTTCTTGTTTACATTTGTCAAAGCAAATGTAAACAAACATTGTTAGTGTTCTCATTGCAGCCATGGAGACCAATCAATATTTACTTTTAAAATGTTCACTTCAGAACTTTTAAAGCCAAAGGGGGCAAAGCCTACGGTCAGTATCGAAATGTGAGTAGTCCTATAATGGTCCTTGGTATGGTAGCTATATTTTTGTAAATTTTAAGCCCATTAGGTTCAGTAGTTTTTGCACCTATTAGTAACACACATACAGACAGACACCATTAGATTTTTATATAATAGTATAGAAAGATATATGTTTAAATATATTTTATTATTTTTGTGTATTAAATTGTTCACACTCAGTATTGAGACTGGCAATTACAGCATTGTGGTAAAACTCATAACTCTAAAGCCCCCACAGCAGATGAGCATGTTGGGTTGGAAGTCAGGTTTACACTGGAGTTGGCAGTTTACACACACAGTGGAGCCTACGGATAAGCATTTTTGTACTTTGTCATTTATGAAATGGATTTTGACTCAGCTGTTGTGTTGATTAGTATTGTAAAAAAGTTAACTCAAAATAATAAGAACAAACAATGACATGTATGGACCAAAAGGTGGCTTTTGAATAGAAATCGTTATTCACTATATTTGAGGTGAGCGCCCAAAAAAAATCCACTTAGCGTATTAACTGACGTGCTTTATTAAGTGGCACCAGGGCCGGTTCTAGGAATTTTTCAGAGTTAAGCGAACACCCGAATCAGCGTCACACTTAGAATCCCCCCACCACCCCACCAGCAACCCATGAACATTACTTAACTCTATTTGTGAATTTTTTCCCAAAGATTTTGGGAAGAACTTTTTTATTAGTTTAGGTTAGAAGAATACTTGCAATAAAAGACTGTTTATTATTCCCAGGAATTTAACATTTTTACACTTGTACTCATCGTATAAACTTTAGCAAAACCAAGGCTACACTAAAAAAAACAGGCCGTAATGCTCGTCAAGCATAGTGAGAAGAAAAAGATATGTTGTAAACAGTCAATGTGTAAATTATCGAAGTTGTATTAAAAATGTGTATAGTTTTGGATGTTGGTTTGTGTTTAATGATATAAGTTAGTTATTAAATTTTTATTTTAAGTTTTAAGGATTTGGCATATGACTAAGATTTCTGCCAGTTATTGCCTAACTCTGTCCTGTAGAGTTTAAAGTAGCCTACACCTTATTGTCTACAAATTGGCTAGATAACTTAGGTAAAAATTCACCCTTTAAAATGGAAAAGGACTGTTATGTAAATTGTAAGTATTTCCATTGGTTGATAATCTTTTAGTTGGCTCTTTTGCTCTTTTAAAATCATTGGAAATTATGACTGTTATAAGTTTTCAACCAAGTAATTTGTTTGTAAATAACTCCTGTACTTCTTTGCAATTGCTCGATTTCGAGCAACATGTACACTAGTAAATAAATAAATACCTACGTCATTGCCGTAAGTTAACAATTTATTTCTAAATGTGAAAACAATTTTTACGCCACACTACACTATTTTGACGAACTTCCCACACAAGGATTTAGCCCAGAAAACAGCTGTTTGCCGCCAGCTTAATCGGGGTTTCATTGCGTACCGGTACTACTGTAGCCTACTGTAATGAGTTTTACCGGACACCAATCAGCTGATTACACTGTATTTTTTTTTTACTTTATTTAATTTACAAAGTTGAACAATAAGCAAATGATATAAATAGTAATACAAAAATAACTTGAAGAACATGAGCTAGTGATTGACCACCGTCAACACTAGCAAACAAAGAGAATTTTGATAACACTTAGCCGAATCTGAATGGTAGGTCCAATATCGTATGTCGCTTCAGTCTGTAAATGGTGTTGTGATTGTCCAATAAATTAAGTGCAAGATAATTTGAATGATTTTCCAATTTTATAATGTATTTTTAACTAGATTTTGTAATTTCTTCTTTTACTGTTCGAATTTGAAGATCATTGTGAAGTGTTCTGTTGGTAACAAACCAAGGAGCGTTGACAATTTTACGTAATAATTTTGATTGGTAACGTTGAATAATTTCAATAATTTGTTTAAACTGAACTCAATTTCATGATCCGTTTTTCAATTTCATATTTTATTTTAAAATATTGACATTTTTAACAAAAAAATTGCAATATTTCATAAATAAAACTAGATAACAAAAAATGGATTGCTGAATTGAGTTTGGCTTAAAAAAGGAACTCGAAATGATGGGTCACAAAACCCCCTTCATATTTAAAATAGTTGATCACATTTCAAAATGGCGGAACCAAGATGGCGGCCAAAAAAAATACATCCGTCATAACCAAGTTAAAATAGGTAGACAATGACTGGTAGTGTATACTTATCTTTATCTAGCACTATTTTGAGATTATGGTCTTAGTTTCTAAAAGCACAATGTTAAAATGGGCTAAAAATAA